TCGCCCAGCTGGTGGGGGACCAGTTGACAGCGCGTTGTGGGAACCGGACCAAGTTTTTTTTTTTCCTCTCTCCCCTCTCTCGATCTGTCGCTCCTCATGCTTCCGTCTCCGTTTCCCTCGGCTTGTCGATCCATACCCCCAGGGATCGCCGCCGCCGGGGGGGGGGGAGTAGGCACAGTCTCGGGTGTACCCCCCGGCCTGTGAGGGGTGATGGGGGTATGTGGTGAGCAGGACGGCCGAGGGACGTGAGAGAACGTCGCGAGGCCGGTGGTGCGATTGCTAATGAGCAACACCTGTGAAGCACACCGGTCTCGCATCTCTCACGGAGGAGCGGAAGCATAAAGGGGGAGCGACGGAGTGGATGAGCGAGAGAGGAACAGGCCTGCTTTTGTTTGTGCTTTGTGTTATTTTATTTTGGTAGCCAGCAGTCTTCCGTGAGGGGCTGCTGGCAGGTAGCTATATTTTATTTTGGGTAGCCAGGAGTTCCGTGAGGGACTGTTGGCAGGTATTGTGTTTATTTCATTTAAATAAAGTTTTATTTTGATTGTCCGCCGGTTCCCGCCTCCTTCTTCCCTGAACCTTGCTGCAGTCACATTTACCTCAGAAAAACCATATGTGACCATAAACTCGTTAGTCAGCTAGAAAAATTAACTCAAAAGAGGAGCATTTTGCTAAATATATGCACCATATTACATATTCATTATAATTTTTAATATTATTCGATGTTGAATGTTTGAATAAATCTGGCAAGTTTTTATGACAGCCACCATTTAAATGTTTATATTTCATATAACTTTATTATTATAAAAATAAGTAAAAGTGTCATTTAAGTGTTTGTATAGCTACAAATCAGTTAATTTTTACCTTCAATATTATAGTAGGCTAATATAATATAATAATACAACTGATTCCCATAGTTTACAGCATTAATGCATAACCAAGTAAGTTGAAAAAGTAAAGTAAGGGATTACTTTTACATTAATGTAATTTAATTTGTTATTTCCGTTTTATTTGCGTTAAATACCATATAGAGTATAGACTATAGAACAATTCTATATTAAGCAATTGAACATCAAAATTTAACATCTAATTTTAAAATGTAATGTAACCTTCTCCCTTTAAATACTTTGGTCATTTCAAGAATAATTTGTGTCTATTTGAACTAAAGTGTCTATTTGAAATAATTATAAAAAAAAACATATGTGACCATAAACTCGTTAGTCAGCGAGAAAAATATTCAATATTATAGTAGGCTAATATAATATAATAATACAACTGATTCCCATAGTTTACAGCATTAGTTAAGAGATTTGTTTTCCTTGAGAAAATTTGCCATGTATTGTAGCCTACCTGATATCCAAAATAATCAATATTGAATCGAATCGAAATCGAATCGAATTGCAAGCTTGTGAATCGAAATCGAATCTAGAAATTTGTGTCAATACCCAGCCCTACTTAAAAACATAAGCGGCCGTTCACTGCCATTATAAAGCTTGGAAGAGCCAGGACATTTTTTAATATAACTCCGGTTGCATGAGAGCATGAGAACAGTGTCAATGCATGAGTCTCACGCTGAATAGAGTGAGAGTTGGGAGCCCTAATAGATGCATAGACAGGCAGACAGACAAAGTGTCTGTGTGTGTGTGTTGTCCTATTCTCCTGTTCTCTGTCCTCCTGCCGGAGCAGCTGTCGAAGTGGACAGGAAGGACTAAAGGGCAAGGACCTGTTTGAGCTCATTTATAACAAGGTGCAACCTCAGCGTCCTCTGGTTTAAAACATTGCCTCATTACTTCACTTCCTGTAGGAGCCAATACCTCCTGTGAGGAACGGATAATAAATACCCGTGAAATACTGTGCCATGCCATTTTTAAGGTATGAGAGGCTGCGCTACAGTATCTCACAAAAGTGAGTACACCCCTTACATTTCAGCAACCATTTTAGTATATCTTCTCAAGGGACAATACTATAGAAATGAAACGTGGATATATTTTAGAGTAGTCAATGTGCTTCTTGTTTAACAGTATATATTTACTGTCCTCTGAAAATAACTCAACATACAGCCATTATTGTCAAAATAGCTGGCAACAAAAGTGAGTACACCCTAAGTGAACATGTGGCCAAAGTGTCAATATTTTGTGTGAGCACCATTGTGCACCATCTAGCACTGCCTTAATCCTCCTGGGCATGGGGTTCACCAGAGCGGGACAGGTTGTTGCTGGGATCCTCTTCCACTTCTCCATAATGACATCACGGAGCTGCTGGATGTTAGACACACAGTGCTTCTCCACCTTCTGCTTGAGGCGGTGTGTTTGGGGTCGCTATCATGCCGTTCGGCCCAGTTTCTGAAGGGAGGGCATCATGTTCTGCTTCAGAATGTCACAGTACATGTTGGAAACCATGTTTCCCTCAATAAAGCTCAACTCCCCAGTACCAACAGCACTCATGCAGCCCCAGACCATGATGCTACCACCACCATACTTGACTGTAGGCAATTTTACCAATTTTATTGGTACTCCTCACCAGGGCTTCGCCACACATGCTGGACAGCCAAACAAGTTTATCGTAGTCTCATCAGGCCACAGGACATGCTTCCAGCAAGTCATGCTCTTGGACAGGTTGCTTTCAGCAAACTGTTTGCGGGCTTTCTTGTGAGCCAGCTTCAGAAGAGGCTTCCTTCTGGGACGACGGCCATGCAAACCGACTTGTTGCAGTGTGCGGCGTATGGTCTGAGCACTGACAAGCTGACCGTCCGCTTCTGCGACCTCTAAAGCGATGCTGGCAACACTCATGCGTCTGTTTTTTGAAGCCAGCGTCTACACCTGACACACAGCACGAGGACTCTTCTTTGGTTGACCCTTGTGAGGCCTGTTCCAAGTGGAACCCATCTTGGAAAACCTCTGTATGACCCTGGGCTGTACTGGACAGTAAATCTATACTGCTAAACAAGCAGCACATTGACTATTCTAAAATATATCCAAGTTTAATTTCTATGGTATTGTCCCTTGAGAAGATATTCTAAAATGGTTGCTGAAATGTGAGGGGTGTACTCACAATTATTCAATAAAACATGTTAGCATGTTGCTGGAACTCAAAACATAACCACACATATTGGGTAGTTTCTCACAACTTTTCCCCCTCACTAAACTCATTGCAATACATTCTTGGATTGTGTTTTTCTACCAAAACGAGGGAACTCAGAAAGCAACATAATATCGTTGATTTCTCTTTTTTCAACATTCTTCATGTCAGGATACCTATGATCCCTTTAAATGCTGTCTAGGTAGGCAGCATGCTAGGTTTAACTAAGGAAGTTGCGCTCTTCTTTGAGGTCCATTTGAATGTGAAGCAGGCTTTGATCTGGATTTAATTGTTCGGCCACAATAAACCAGTTCCCTTTGTAAGACCCACATACTCCTTCCTGAGCCCTTTCCTTCCTCTTGGAGGACTGTCAGAATGGCAGGAACTCGCTATTTTGTTTTCTTCTCTAAATCCTTTTTTTGCATTGACATTCTTTCACACTCATTTTATTTTTCTCAGACAGCCTGAATCCAGTCGAGTTAAAGCCTTCGCGCCGACATAGTGTGAGAAACTACTTTGTAAAGCAATTCACTAAAAACATGTCAGAAATGACAGAACTAATTGACATTATAAACATTAAGCTGGATAAAAATAAAGAAAAATAGGGATGAAACTAATTGACATTTTTTACACAAATTGTATTTTATACTAACCCCTACTGATGTGGATTCAAAAGTTTTTGTTCGTTCATTTTTGGTCAAAACAGGAAGAAATTGATGTTCACCTCGGGGAGGGATTCACTTTTTGTACTTCTGCACTCTGCAACTTCTGCAATCCTGACATCTAGTGATAGAAAGGCAACATTACATTTTTGGCAGTCAACAATCCTGAATAAACACTTAGATGCGCAAGCAAATAAAATTAATCTTAAAAATATTTAAAAACAAATGTAATTAAATACTATTGCAAGGCTTTAATGATTTTCCTAAAGCTTTGGTGTTTTTTTCACCTTAGTAATAATAATAATAATATTATTCAACTTTAAATAAATGGACTAAAATTAATAGTTGTCACATTTGAGTTGTTAAAATTCACTATATACATATATACTTATATAATTGTTTGTGTGTGTTATTCATATATATAATTTTTTTAAACCTTTTTTCATAAAACCTGTGCCAAATCCAATGTGTGTGTTCAGATAATTCCGATGAAGCGGACCCTACAAACACACACACACACACACACACACACACACGTACACACGTGTGTGTTTCATCAGTCATGTTATTTTAATGACGAGATTTTAAACAGACTCTGTTATACATATATTTTACACCAGATGTCAGCAGACTCACAAAGAAAATTCTTAAAGAGACTCAACTGCACTGTCTCTTTTTAAATGACTCATCCTTTAATTGTTTCTTGTTTTTTTTACAATCTATTCACTCAATATGGGAAAAAAAACCTCTCACCATAATAATAATAATAATAATAATAAAAAACATTTTACAATTCTACAATTAAATACATCAAATTTGAGATTTTAAAATCACAACTATATATATATATATATATATATATATATATATATATATATAAACATAATATGTGTGTGTGTGTCAGGAAGCGAGACACACACACACACACACACACACACACACTATATATATATATATATATATATATATATTCAATTCACATTTATTCGTAAAGTGCTTTTCACAATACATATCGTTTCAAAGCAGCTTTACAGAAAAGGCATGTGTCTACATTACTATTTAGAGTGATCTGTTATCAGAGGTGACTGTGTCCATGCAAACCCATATAAATAAATATATGGGTATATATATATAAGCACCAAACTTTTTGTGTGCGCTGTATCTCATGTTGTACATGGGGATGTACAAGCAGTGTTGGGATGTGACTTTCTGAACTGGTGTCTCCGTGCTTCTGCTTGCCTGTGTGGGAGGAGTTCGCACAGATTTGTATTCCTCATGCACACGCACAGACAGCAGCAGCAGCGCTTCAGTGTGAGGCAGAGCACAGCGGGGAAACCTCCGTCTACTCTCACTGTCGGCTTGTTTTTATCTCCACTGAGGAAACGCCTCGCTCCCTGACCTTACAAGTCTCGGATTTATGCTGTGCGTGGAAGAAATCTATTCGTGAACTCTTCATAGTGAGGAGATAAACGGAGGCCAGCAGTCTGCAGTACAACATATCATCAGAAAACAGGAGGAGGACCCAACGCCCTTCCCAGACCGACCATGCATACCTGCCTGGGTTGATGTGCTTGTGCAATGGATGCTTTAATGGGTTTGCATGGATAAGTATGCACCATTGACATGCTGAGGTGCCTCTCCTTTTATGGATTGCTTTATGGGATCATAACCCGGTGTTTTTTCCTTCAAAACTGAAAGTCATCTCAGTTTGGATGCTAAACAACCAATGAATCTGAAGCCTGGACGCCTCGAGATCAGAGAGGCGAGATAGGCGACGTTGCTATGTGATTTATTGATTGTTATATATTTATCATAAGATGGGGAACGGTTTCTCCAACATCGCAGCATTCCAGTCCCTGCACATTGTGATGCTAGGCTTGGATTCGGCCGGTAAAACCACAGTACTGTATCGGTTAAAGTTTAACGAATTCGTCAACACTGTTCCCACCATCGGCTTCAACACAGAGAAGATCAAACTCAGCAATGGCACCGCCAAAGGGATCAGCTGTCACTTCTGGGACGTCGGCGGACAGGAGAAGTTAAGACCCTTATGGAAATCCTACAGCCGCTGCACGGACGGTATTATTTACGTGGTGGACTCCGTAGATGTCGACCGGCTTGAGGAAGCCAAGACAGAACTGCATAAAGTCACTAAATTCGCAGAGAACCAAGGAACTCCTCTGCTGGTGATCGCCAATAAGCAGGACCTCCCCAAATCCCTAACAGTCACCGAGATCGAGAAGCACCTGGCTCTCCATGAACTGAGTCCCTCCACCACGTACCACGTCCAACCGGCCTGCGCCATCATTGGCGAGGGTCTCCATGAAGGAATGGACAAGCTATACGAGATGATCGTCAAACGAAGGAAATCTCTCAAACAGAAGAAGAAACGATAGACAACTGCAGACTTGTAGAGACATTTAAAGGGATAGTTCACCCAAAAACGACAATTCTGTCATCATTTACTCACCCTCATGTGTCCCCATTGACTCATTGTGTGACCAGACATTTTAAAACATCTCCTTTTCGTGTTTTGCAGAAGAAAATCGTACAGATTTAGAATTACGTGAGGGGAAATGATGACAGAATTGTCTTTTTTTTTGTGTACTAAATATTGCCATGAAAGATATAATGGGTTTTGCCTTGGTATGCAAGATTTGGTAACACTTTATAGTAACTTTCATTAATAATATATTGCGCAACAAATACGTAGTTAATGTACATTCATACTGTCTGGAACATTTGCATAAATATGCGTATTTGAATCTACATGAACTCTTGATCTGATAACTGTGATGTATTAAAACATTTATTACATTAAGTAGTAAAATTAAATTAAAATATTTCAGCTTACTTGAACAATATAGCATCTTTGCCACAACCAATGGCATTAGTTTTGGGCAGGACAATCTGTTTGTCGACCAATGGCAGATACATTTGGAAAACCTGTTTGTAAACAATCATTAATTTTGCAATTCAGTTTTGGTGCTGTCGTGCAGAAATTACACACTTTAAGCATGTTTCTTACTGACTTGTTAGTGAAAGTTATTATAAAGTGTTACAGAAGATACAAAAAAAAAAACAGTGGTTAATAATATGCTTGCGTATAGAACCAAAAACTACTTAAATAAATAGCGAGAAAATATGTAACCAGCCAATAAATTAAAGTGCATAAAAATAAGAGAAAAAAATAAATGGGCCGGACCCATGTTGCTGCTTGAAATTAACTCCATAAATATTGCTAATAAACAGTAGCCTGTGCTTTGAAAAAACCCTACTTTTGTTACAAAATCATTCCTTAAATAAACTGAATTAAAATGATTCTTTTGTACATTATGCTTTTCTTGCAGCGCATTGAACCATATAGTTCCTCCGATGCAGTTTTTCCATTTTTTTCCATCTGTCTTTTTAAAAATAGGTTGAGGTGCCCTACACAGGCCTTGAACATGACCAGATATGTTTGTTTTGTTGAAATGCTACTTTGTACTACAATCAGAGGTTGCTGTATCATGAAACCATGTAGTGAAATGAAGACTGTTTATGCACATGATGCCAAAAATAAATTATACTGAAATATACGTAACACGTGTAGCGTTTTGTTGGTTTGCAACCTGACCTAAACACTTCGGAAAAGTCTGCATTCAGCATTATCGCGGGCGGCGAGCCTGTTTTCTGTAATTAAAGTTGCCGTTCGGTACAACAGCCATCACCCATAATTCCCCGAGCTGTCAGATCTACATGATTCCACTGCGCTGGACGACGTAAATCCCTTTGATTTAGCTCCAGGCTGGCCGAGGTCCACACATGCTCGCGTTTGAGCACAAACACTCTCGGGACTGGGATAATGACCTTTTAGTGCTCAGCGAGATTGAAAATGGATATTAATAGGAGAACTCGCCCATTGTGTAATTAGAATAAGTCACAACGGGCCGGAAAAATCCCTCTGATGGGAGTGTGACTGGGGCCTAGAGGCGTGCAACACAACACCTGCTGGGTCGGCAAACATACACAAAGCGTGATTTTAAATCAAATGTACTTTTAACAGGCTGTACTATGGTTTTGATGAGAACAAGTTTGAAGGCAAATGTTGCATGCAAAATCTGTCACGCTAAAATGCTGTGCTGTTTTAAGAAATCAGTTGCAATTTCGAAAATTAGAAAGGTCAATGGTTCATAATTTTGGTTGGACAAACATTGGGAATAATTAAGATTTTTAATGCGTTTTTGTTTGTAATATCTCTTGTGCTTTAGCAAGGCTGCATTTAATTGGCCGAAAATACAGTGAAAACAGTAATATTGTGAATATTTATTATTATTTAAAAGAACTGTTTTCTATTTTAATATATTTTAAAATGTCATTTATTCCTGGGATGTAAAAGTTGGATTTTAAGCTGCCATTATATCAGTCTTCAGTGTCACATGATCATTAAGAAATAATTTTAATATGCTGATTTGCTGCTCAATTATTAATGGTTCCTATTTATCAATGCTGAGAAGTTTTCACTGCTTAATATTTACGTGGAAACCAGGATGGATTAATTTTTTTCAGGGTTCTTCGATTAATGGAAAGTTAAAAAGAAAAACATTTATTTTGTAACATTATAAATGTCTTTAATGTCACTTATGGACAAATTTATTCAGCGTCCTTGCTGCATTTAATAATTTATTTTTAAAAATATCTTTCGTAACCCAATTTATCACGTTTTCCACAAAAATATTAAGCAGCAAAAAGTTTTCAACGTTGATAATAATATTTCTTGAGCACCAAATTAGAATGATTTCTGAAAGATGTAGACTTCTTTTAAAAAAACAAAGTTAATCATTTGACTATTGGAAAAAAATAAATAAGTAATAATACATATCATGATATTTGTATTAAATAATTTTTTTCCTTTAAATACATAAAAAAATCTATAAATGTTTTTTAAAAAACTAAAAGTTATCCATTGACTTAACTTAAAAAAAGTGAGGAACCACGTTTTCTTAAAATTTTTCATTAATAAACTTCATGTGTACTTGAAAAAAATGTATAACTTGACAATTCCACATAACTTAATTTTTTCAATTACACATGACACGTATTTACTTAATAATTTTAAGGCAACAGGTTTTCTCACTTTTTTTAAGTTAAGTCAACTGATCACTTTTTACAGTGTATGAAACCAACCTCAATACAACATGATCAAGAACTAGACTATTAAAACACTCTCCTTTTTATCATCCAAGACATTCTCATTTGTCATTGACCCATAAACCAATATAGCTAAGATCTTTTTCTATATTTGTACTGCTTCCGCTTATGCTCACAATCACAGTAGGGGTACGCCACAATATCAGCCACATTAATTACCCATCATCCCAATGAACCCAGGCCTTGAGTGTAAAATTCTTTAAGGTATGTCACAAGATGAGAGACTGGCTCTGAACAATCCAGAAACCCACAGAGGCGATAGGAAAGATGATATAGATAATTAATTTGAACATCAACCTATCTAAAAACCCAGGCAGTGGGAATGATGCATCGCTTTTTTTGGAGCAGCAGGTAATAGGGTTCTATTAATAGACCTTAATAATTAATGTAGCACCCACTGGAAATATACGAAAAGGCCAGAAATGGGGATCTTATAGTGACAATTGAGCCAGAAGTGCAAGACAGTCAATGTGATCCAATGCGTGTTTTTAATTTTCCCAATTAATTTACTGTGAATTGCTCATATTTGGTTGTCTTATCATACTTAAAGGCAGAGATTACTCATATAGTTATTTATGGAAATGGAGATATCGGAGTATCTTTGTTCCCAGGGAAACTATCTGGTTTTAACAGTAAACAACACTCAAACAAGACTCATGACAAGAGAGTTACCGACAACTAGAGAAATACATATGTATTTTTTACCATGGCAACCATTGTTCTCATATAATATTTATTACAATGCAATACAAATAAAATTACAATGAATAATAAAAAAATAAAAAAAATAAAATTGTATTTTTTGGTTACACTTTAGTTTAGGGTTCAATTCTCACTATTAACTAACTATTATATGACTTTTGCCTCAATAAACTCCTAATTACTGATTATTAATAATTAGTAAGCTAGTTGTTAAGTTCAGGTATCATTAAGGTATGTAGAATATGATCATGCAGAATAAGGTATTATGTGCTTTATACTAATTAACAGCCAATATCATATGCATGCTAATAAGCAACTAGTTAATATTGACAATTGGACCCTAAACTAAAGTGTTACCGTATTTTTTTTATTTATTTTTTGTGTGTGTGTTGCAAGAATGAAATCTTTATTTTTACACACCAAAGTGAAATATTACACACATACAGAAAGACATGCATTTTGCCTTAGCAAGTACCACTAATAGCCAACTACTATATCAACAAGCTAGTACTTACAATGCTTTCATTGTTCCTGATTTCTTTATTTATACATTTACGCATGTTAAAAATGTTTTACAATTACAACCATTGTCAGGATTTATCGCAATTGGCACTCACTCCCCATACAAAACAAGTTATTAAAATGTGATTTGTTAGTCTGAAAATGCAGCCAATGTTTTGTTCTGCTGCCCGTAATGAGCTGTTTGTACAATTGCATGCAAATTGTATGTTTGTGGAACAATGACATAATTCATAAGTTAGACACCGAGAAAGCCCTATTTTGAACTCCTAAGAGTAAAACTCAAAATGGCCATTGAGGAGCAGGGAAAATTGTTTCTGCTTCTATTTGGGTCATATCGAAGGATTTGTCTATTAATATACCCCTTTCCCGTACGCCTCCATCCCGGTTTTCTGGGTAAATCCATGAAGCTTTGGAAAACACACCTGGATCTTTTGACTGAAATATTTGGGAGTTTGTTGCCCGTCATGACATGCCTATTTTGTTTTGCTCGTCTTGACACCTGTTTACCCCTCTTTCCCTTCCATTTTTCATCGCTCTGTTACTTCTTGTCCTCTTCTCCAAGCGTTCTCTTTCTCTGCCTGCTTTTAGACTCGTCATTCTGCAGCTAACCAGATTGAAATGAGTGGAGAAATCTATGGTTGAAAAGATGCTCTCAGCAATGAGGTAAAACCCAAAGAAACGTATTCATGCATTTATGCGTCTCTCTCTCTCACAGCATTTACAGCACTATTTTGGTATACCTTTAGTGAGTCTTTTTTATATATATATTTTTTAATGAGACCTTTTAGACATGTTCAATAAAACTATTTGAAAAAAAATCTGGCGCACAAAATAATTTGACCCTGAATAACACTCAACATATCAATATTGACCTTATTTATATTGTTCACCCACACCCAGTCATAATTTACTCACCAGAATGTGCATGTTCAAATGTATATTTTATTTTATATTATATATTATTTTATTCAATAATATATAATAGATTATATAACAATATGTAGATTACAGTTATATTTTAAAATAGATCAAAATTGTAAAACAAAAAAAAGCATAATATTTTTAAATATTTT